CAATGATAACTTATAAAAGGGGAACACAATAGGGTCAAGATCCATGTTTAACAAAAGAGCCAGACCAAGAGGGATATATGGCAAAAGGAAATTCAGGAAGAGTTTCTTTAAGGATGAGTCCTTAGAATTTCAAAAAAGCAAATCCAGTGACCAACTTTATTGTTCCAACTTACCTTAGTAAATTAAAAAATCTAGCCTTTATACTTCTTGGATTCATCCATGACATTCTTGTGGGAATCTCTTCTAGAGGACAATCCATCCTTAATAAGATCAAGCATAGATGATATGATGACAATAATGGTAACAAAATGTATCATTACTTTTGATCAATTACTTCTTAACACAAATCACTGCAAGAACAAGAAGAGGCCTAGTCCCCTGAGGCAAGACCTTAAAGATCTCCACAAATATCCTCTAGTCATACATGATCCTCAATGAGAAGGATGTTCTACAAGTGTAGTTGCATTCCACTTCATTCTAAAAATAATCAATTTTGACAAGAACAATGCAACTTAGTGTTGATCCACTAAGTATTTAATCAGAAGTATAAGAAAGAAATATTTTATCAAGGTTCTTGTTTATCATCGGTCATCAAAAGAGATTAAAATTTTGTATACAAATGTCAAAAAGATGTTAGAAAATGTTATTATTCAAAAATTGTAGAATCCCTAGGCATGTGAGCTTCATCTTGTGATGAAGCTTAATGGGAATATTTTTTTTCTACATTGACTATTGTCCATTAAATAAAGTGATAATCCCGGATATGTACCTTCTACCTCACATTGCTAATCTCTTGGATCGTCTGGGGAGAAGTTATTGATTTATCAAGTTAGATTTTACACTAGAAAGTGCCTATGTCCTAGAAAAATATTTCCAAGATTGCTTTTCATATATTATTTAGTTTATATAAGTTCTTGGTGATGTTGTTTCTTTTGAATAATGCTCTAGCAATTTTCCAATAAATGATGAACAATTGTAGAGAAGTGTAGAGGCTCTATTGTAGAGGGTTCTAAAAGTATAGTAGGGATAGTTAGGTTTAAGAACCAAGTTTGAAAGACCTCTCCAATAGTGCTTCCAAACTAACTTGAGGTTGAGACTAAAGGTTAGGGTGAGCATGGACTCACGTGGTGCCAAAGAGGCCACCCAAAAAAGTGCTCAAAAGTAACTCCCACTCTCGGAAGGAAAATTGATTATAGTGCTCTTGGCTCATGTGGAATGGTGCCCCACTTGAGTACCTTATAGCTTATTGGTCCTCACTCTTTCCTAGAGGCTTGGGCCTTCCCTTCAAGATGGAAGTGGGGGAGTAGAGGTACCCATATCAGGCTGTTAGGCCACGATGTTTTCCTTTGGGGTCTTAAAGCAAGTGATGCACCCAAAGCTTAGGATTTAGAGGGTCTTATGATCAAATTTTATTGTACCAAGGGATGTTAAAAACATAGAGGCTTGATATGCTTGGCTGCTTGTGCCTACATGTAATGTAATAGAACTTTTAAGTCTAGTCTAACTCGGGGAATGGGATTAGGAGAGAATTTGGGAATCCGTAGACGGATAGCTAAAACTCTATTGCTCATGCAGTGAGTAGTTGGAACTAAGTAGAATTAAGTAGAAACTAGTATAATAGGTGGGAACCTTGGTGAGGGAACTTAATTAAGGTTAAGGTAGTGGTGGTTAGATAAACGAGGTAAGTTGGCAAATTAGAAAAAAAAATTTATGGTTTATCATTTGGTATCGGAGCCTTTTTTTCAGTTCTAATGAAGGATAGATGCCGATTGTTAAGAAATGGCTAATGTAGGGCATAAAAGAACTAAGGCAAAGATAGAACTTCCTCCAGAGATGGAACCTTCAGTCGAATAAAAAGCTATGGATGAGGAATCCATACATAAAGAGGACTTTAGTGAGGAAATTTCTAAATAAGAGTTCAATAATGAGGTTTAGTCATCCAAGGCTTAATTGAACGTTCTAAAAGGACAATTGGCATAGACTAATGCCTTGCTAAAAACCTTTATATGGAAGCTAAAGCATGATGAGAAGCAAAAGAAAATGCAACAACACTTGACAAACACTTGATGAAGGTGTTTAAGAAATTAAAGGAACACAAATTATATACTAAAGAGAATAAATGTGGTTTTGCTCAACAAGAGGTAAAATCTCACGAGCATGTGGTGGGCAAGAACGGCTTAAAGTGGACCTTGAGAAGGTTCAAGTAATCTAATAATGGGAATAACCATCGAATATACACAAGTTAAAGGCATTCTTAGGGCTATGCAACTACTACCAAAAGTTTATCAAATATTATACAAGAGTAACCTTACCTTTAATAGATGAAATGGGAAAAGGGAAAAAGGTATGGATAATGGAATGTGACGTGATAAACCTCAAAGGGAAGTTGAGGAAGACTCTTGTGTTGGCATTACTATATTTTAGTAAGGACTTTGAGATAGAAATGAACATTTTAAACTTTGTATTGGGCGTAATTTTGAAGCAAAACAGCCATCCAATGGCATTCTTTTCAAAGAAGTTAAACAAGGTTAAAAAAAGTGGCCTACCCATGAAAAGAAATTATTTGCGATGGTTAAAGCATTTAAGGATTGGCCACACTACCTAGAACGGCACTTTAAAGTTTATATGAATAATGTGGCAACAAAACACTTCTTGTCAAATTTGACCTGCGAAGAAAACAAGATCAGTGGGCTAATGCTTTGATCAAGTTTGATTGCAAGATTTTGTATAAACCTAGAAAGAGCAATATTATGGTAGACACTCTAAGGATAGATTATCTTTTGGAAGAGATTCCCACAAGAATGTCATGGATGAATTCAAGAAGTACAAAGGCTAGAATTTTTAATTCACCAAGGCAAGTTGGAACAATAGAGTTAGCCACTAGATTTGCCATTCCAAAACCCTAAAGACTCATTTTTAGAGAAACTCTTCCTGAATTTCTTTTTACCATATGTCCCATTTGGTTTGGCTCCTTTGTTAAATATTAGCTAAATTGCTGAAGCTAAAGTGTTTTGTCTAGTCTTAAATCCTACTATAAATGAAGAAAGCAACTCTTTGACTTTTAATCCACAATCAAGTAATAAGAACTTTTAAAGTTGCAATTTCTAAATTATTCACAATCTAAAATAAGAAGCCTAAAACTTTAAACTAATCAAATGGTATTATTACCCAGTAAAGTCAATGCATTTGATTGTCAACTAGCACACAATCATTACCACTTTGTCATCTCAATTCTTCTGTATAAAGATTGTTTAATTAATCTTTATTTACAGTCATGTTGAATGGACTTTTAAAGAGTTAATAAAAGTTATTGGTCACATTCTTTATTATGTTCCATAACATTTTCTATAATAAAAAAGTGCAAACACTATATATATCTTAACTACATAGATTTATAATTTCTTTGATTGTCTAAAATGCTTTGGAAATTATTGTTTACTTAATAAGTCAACAAAGGAGGCATTAGAGAAAATTTATATAATTTTTTAACAAAATCATACACAACCCATCAAAAATCAATTGAAACAAATGCATATCTTAATTTGTTTCATTTGTATATTGAATTATAAGTAAAAGACATATTAAACAAAAAATATAAAAACTTAAAGCAAACCAAGAATAGCATTATTTTAAAGCTAAACTAACTAGTTTAGATTTGCTAAACAAAAGGAATCTTATATGTAATTGGAACCAAAGCTGTGATAATTGCCCACAAAAGAAGGATCTGCTGAAGAGCTAGTATTGATTGCTATAAAACATTCCTTATCCATACTAGAAACTGGACTGGGGGAAGAAAGCAATAGCAACAACAATCCACCATGGCACCCATCAATTTTGTGAAGAACAAGGAGAAGAGTAGCACTTCATCTTTTGCCTCCTTAGTTCCTTGAGAAAACTGAGCTCTCTACTTATGGCAAGCTGTCTTCCAATATTTAGTGGACAGTCCATCACCTTATGAGTTGATTCAAAACAAATGTGTGAGTTGGCGGGATTGTACCCTTATCAATATGGGTTTATAAATTATAATTTATAAACAAATTCTAAATGAATAAGAACCGTTGGACGATAGTATAGAAAATATCCACTATTAAAGGTAAGATTCTTGCTGAAATTAATTTAAGATTAATGCTATGGTCACTATTGTTGCCAAGAACAATGCCTTTATCTGCGGATGCTCGCTTAGATGGTTACTCACAGCTGTGCAACGATCCAACTCCACAACTACGATCTTGTAGGCCTAGATCAGCAGCCTCTCTCTTTGAGCACAAAACTTGCCGCCTACATTCGTGCCAGGGACGTTGTCAGGGCAAAAGGAACTTTCGATGCAATGCCAGAGAGGGATCTTGTTTCATGGAACTCGATGATTGCCGTATTTGCCAAAAACGGGCATCTAGTAGAGGCGGCAGAGCTCTTCCAGTCCATGCCTGGGTGGACTCGATCTCTTGGAACTCGATGCTGAGTGGGTATTTGCGCAATAACGAGTTTCTACTGGCTAAAGAGGTTTTCAATGTGATGCCAGATCCTAATCTTTTCTCGTGGACTGCAATGCTTACAGCATTTGCCAGAAACGGGCTTCCAGAAGATGCTTTGGAGATCTTTGAGACCATGCCGGTTTGGAGCATCATCTCCTGGAATGCAGTGCTAGATGCGTTTTCTCTGGAGAAATAGAGGATAATCTTTGGCGCCATGCCAGAGCACGATGTTGTTTCCTCCACTGCTATGCTCGTTGTATATGCCCAGCAAGGGCATCTTGCCATCTCGAGAGAGATCTTTGCGAAGAGAATGCCGCACAAGGATCTCATTTGCTGGAACGCGATGCTCTCGGCTCTGGTAGATCACGGTCATGTGGAAGAGGCCAAGGCGCTATTTGATGCCATGCCGGAGCGATCCATCTCGTCCTGGAACGCTCTAATCTCGTGCTACTCTCAGAATGTCCACCTCCAGGAATCCAGCGCGCTTTCGATCGAATGCCGGAGAGGGATGCGATCTCCTGGAACGTGATGGTGATCGCTTTCGCGCAGCACGGGCAGCTCCAAGAATCGCGACGCACCTTCGATTCCAGCCTCGCGAGTTACAACGCGATGCTCGCCTCTTATGCCCAGCACAGGGATCTGGAGCGGGCCAGAGAGATCTTTTCATCCATGAAGCTCTGCAACCTCTTGTCGTGGAACATCATGCTCGCAGCGCACGCACAGTCCGGAGGCTCGATTGAAGGCGCAAAGAAGATCTTCGATAGCATGCCACAGCGTGATCAGATTTCTTGGAATTCGATGCTCTTGGTCAGTGTGGAAGCACTAAAGTGTTGAGAGACTCTTCTTCACTCCAATGCCGCTTCACGATCTCGTGTCATGCAATCTGATGATCACGGCATTTGCAAAGACCAAAAATATTGAGAGCGCAAAGCACGTATTTGATGAAACCCCGGAGAAGAATTTTCTAGCTTGGAACACAATGCTTTCCGCATATGCCGAAACTGGGTATTTTGATCATGCCGAGTCAATGTCTACATGATGCCGTTCAGGAGCTTGGCTTCTTCTAGCATGATGTTCTCCGTGCTAGCAAGTACAAAGAGGCTTAAATGTGTGGAGATTCTCTTTGGTGAGATTCCATATCGGGACACTTTCTCTTGGAACTCGATGATTTCCACTTACGCCCAGAACGGACATCTCAAAAGAGCTCGCAAAGTTTTTAATGCTATGCCTCTTTAATGCTATGCCTCACTTAAGCTCGGTCTCATGGAGCTCCATGATGGTGGCATATACCCGCTCTGGACATCCTGAAGATGCTCTTGATCTCTTTTGAGATTTGGAACTCCAAGGGTATGTTCCTGACGAGGCATGTTTCTCGTGTGCTCTTATTGGATCCAGCCATGGGGACTTATCTTCTGGGTGGAGGCTCTTTTGTGCAATTAGTAGCGACAATAGCATGAAACCCAACAAGGATCACTATGGCTGTATGATTGACATGCTGGGAAAAAGAGCCTACTCGATCGATGCCATAGAGCTTCTAAAGCAAATGCCTTTTGTCCCTGATTTACGAGAAGTGGTCTCATTTCTGTTGCTGGGTATGGGCTGTGGGATCGTTTGTGTTTCTTGCCAACATTCATTTTCAGGCCATGTTTCTCTGTTAATTATATTTGTATGGTTTCTACAAATATATCTTGTTTAGAACTCAGGTGTACATAATGATTATTTTCTATATAGTTGATGTTTTAGTAGCTTAGTATAATGAAGGTTTTATTTATTTGAGCATTTTAGTGAATTCGCTTCCACACACAGGGTACCAGTTCTCATAGTCTAGTAGAAAGAATTCCATTCCAAATGAGTTCTATGGAATTCAGCCAAGCCATGCCAAAAGATCAGAAAACTTGTTGCGACTTTTATAGATAAATAGAAAGATGTTTACACCCAGGGAGCATATATAGAATTCCCCAGTCTCTCAACCGTGGAGGCAAATGATGTAAATTGTGTTTGCTATGGCCATCACCAGACTGTGTCAAGGCTTTATGGAAGTCTACAAAGCATCATATCAATAGCTTTCCATCACCATCATGTATATAAGCTTTGTGGGATCGTCTACATGGGAGAGAAAACTAATGGATGCCAATCTGGAGGTGAAAGTTTCTTATGGATTTCTTTGGGAACATGAAGCAACAGCACTAAGTCTGAAACAGGGACTGGTTTGGATGAGTGGAGAGCAAATGGAGGAAGTATCAGGAGACCGATGAAACAAGAGCCATAACAGGAATGACAATGTTCTTTCTCATACAGAAGGGGGAGAATAAAATGCTTGAGGAACAGTTTTCAATATATTATCACTTACATTCTATCTTCCCATTGCTTTCCCACCATAGTATGGAGTATGATCAAGCATTGACACCAATTACATTTTCCTAAGATTAATTAGACAACAAATTATTTTTATTTATAAACATATTTAAATTAAAAATACTTATTTATGCATAAAAATAAAATAAAACATAATTATTTAGAAAACATTATTATAATATAAAACATTATAAAATTATATATTAAATAAGGATTTTTAATTTAATACAATTAACAATTATGCTATATAATTTTTAAAAACATTTATTTAGTAAAATTTAAAAAACAATTATTACCACAAATAATATCTCATAGGTATACTCCATTCATTTGGATCTAATGCTTGTTTATGAGTCATAAAAATTGCATATGAAAATATATACCATTCAATATTAGGTTGTCCTCCATAGTCAGAATTACCTGCTTTATATGCTGTAAAAGTAGTGTATTTTATATTTTCTATTTTTGCAGTGCACCAAAATTCTGTTGTTGCAAACCATTTCTCACTAAATTCAAATGAAATTCCTTGACGATCATTAATAGTTTTTATACCCATATTAACGTCTGCTGATGCACAGTGTAATTCTAGTTTTGAACCCACCCTATTTAAAACACTTACAGTTATTTTACCATTAGTAGTACAAAATAATATTAATAATGCTGTTACTATTAAAGTCATTATAAATGATTATATTAATAGATGGCTATACTCTACAAGATGGTTAAATATGATTAAAAAACTTAAGCATAGAAATATAGGAGGAATTAGTTACATATTATGTTTAGAATATTTATGTGATTCATAATAGTCAATGCTGCAATAGCATCAATCAAAATGGAGAAGTTTTATAAATAAGGAAAAATAGATGTTATTGATAATGTTAAGAAGTAGATCACTTTATAATTTATAATTTATAAAAATATATTCCCTTTTTGATTTTATTTTTGGTTTGTTTGACAAAACCTGTGGTAGTGTACATACTTAGAATATGCATAGATATTCTAAGACATTCTACCATCTAATGGTTGTTATTCATTTAGATTAATCTTGTATTTATAATTTATAAAATTTCCTAAGCACTTTCTATCTAATTGTATGCTAATCTTGATGTAAAAATTATAAACATTTTTATAATTGTTGATCAATTATATTATTCAATAATACTAAATAAGAATGAAGCAAACCAAACATTATTAATTATTTAAATTAACTTTGGCCTTATAATCTTAGATAAAAACCATTATATTAGTTAGTTAGTTTGAATATGTAAGCTTGTTTAGATCTTAATTCTATGATAGAGAGTCCTATCAATATTATAAGTTATTGATGTTGACTAATCCTGAAAAAGAAAACATGAATCTCTTGTGTTCCATGAACTCAATACCACATATGGAGAAAGAGAGCAAGGGTTGTGCACTTTTGAAAAAGCATTGGTTAAGTACCACAAATTGTGAAAATTGTTATCAAGATGCCAATGTCCTTAATCAATACTTTTTCAAAAATGTAGAAGTTTTTATCTCTTTCTCCATATGTGGTATTGAGTTCATGGAAGACAAGAGATTCATGTTTGCTTTTTCAGAATTGGTCAACATTGCAACTTAAGCCTTCTTCTGCAGAATATGAGGGGTATGTTGAAAAACTCTTAACTCAAATTTTTTTTAAGCTATTTGGTCCCATTATTAATCAGACCAAAGTCCACCACATGTGCACAATATAGTATTTCTACTTGAGATGCATGTCCTATAAAAATGGGCTTTTGCTAGTGATTTCCTCAGAAGAAGAAGAAAATGAGCAAGTGTATGAAAGAAGTGCTTGATTTTGGAAATCAATATTCCATAGGCTCTATAGCAATATCTTGTTCCTAAACCAAATTAGAGTAAGTGATTTAAAATCCATTATTGTTCTATGAATGATATCACAGTGGCTAATTTGCATCTATTGCCTCCAGTTAATGAATTCTTTGAGAACAATCAATATTTCACTATCTTAGATATGACATCAGGGTATTTGAAAATAATTATAAATTTTTTTGATTCTATGAATACTGTCTACCAAACTATGACAAGTTTAAACAAGTTCACTATAATGTCATTTGGGTTGATTGGGGACTAATGCAATATTTCAACATATAGTAGATGAAATATTGAAAGACTTTGACGAGTTTATGTGTTATGATCTGGCGCAAAAAAGACAAAGATCTAGTCACCCTAGACTATGTTACGCTGCCTCTTGAGGTTCCTCACCACCCAACCACCCCCGAGCTCTCCACTGTGCCGCCGCTCCACTGTGAGCCCTAGGGTAGGTTAAGTCCCTTACCCTAACATGCCTTAATATACCCTTGAGCCTCCCTTTGACCAATGTTGACCACGTAGTCAAAGCTGGTGCCTAACAATTCTTCCCCCCCAACAAAGTCCTTGTCCCAAGGACGAGTTGTACCGGTGATCACCCTTTCTAGGGAACCCTGCTCAAGCTCTTGGTCCATCTTCTACAGCCATATACATCAAGGAGGCATTGGGCCCATCACTCCGAGATAGTACATCTTTCAACTGGCTAACATAAAATATCGGATGAATTTTCACCCCAGCTAGTAGCCGCACCCTATAAGCCGTTTTACCAATACGCTCCAGCACTTCATATGGACCAGCATATCGATAGGAAATTTTATCACTCTTCCCTGTCTGTAAAGGCACCAAGGTGTTCCACTGCTCACTTGACGGAAAGATCACGCGCACAAAGACGAGATCACCCACCTTATATTCCCAGAATTGGCAATGCTCATTGGCAAACTTCTTTACTCTATCCTGAGTTGCTTGCAAATTCCGTTTGCACACCACCAGAATCTCATCAAGTTCTATGGCCACTTAGCTTGGTTCCACTGTGTTGGCTATTGTTGTAAGCAAATTGCACCAACAGAAGATATAAATCCCATTGTCCTTGCTTTTGACCAATGCTACAACGTAGCATATCCTCCACCACCTGATTCACACGCTTGGTTTGCCCATCCGTCTGAAGATGATCTCCACTCGAGAATTTCAAAGTCACTTGCATAGCCTTTGTAAAGCTTTTCCAAAATCCACTAGTGAACTTTGAATCTCGATCACTAATGATATCTTCCGGCAAACCAAAATCAGGAAAAACCTTCTCCAAATAAACTGCAGCCAAGTCTGAGACAGTGACAGTCTTCCGAAGAGCCAACAATCGCACACACTTTGTCAACCGATCCACTATGACCCATACTTGCTCCTTTTGCCTTTGTGTTCGTGGCAAACAAGTGATGAAGTCCATAGAGATACTACACCAACGGCTTTGAGGAATAGGTAAAGGTTACAAAAGTCCCCCGGTTTCTCCCGTGGCACCTTAACCCGCTGACAAAGCTTGCATGATTTACAATACTTGAAGATATCAGCCTTTATATTCCTCCAATAAAAGTTGCACTTAATCAACTCAAACGTCTTCTTCCCCCCAAAATGACCGGCCTCTGGACGATCATGATAGTGGAATAAAACTTGAGTAATTAATGCATCCACCGGTGGCAAATATACACGGCCATTGTAGTAGAGAATCCCATCCACTAATGAGAAAGGAGCTTCCATCTGGTCTCGCAAAGAGGCCACCTCAGCATCTTGAGCCTGAGCATGCTCAACCAACTACCCAAACTCACTAACCACTTTACTCAAATGATGACAAAATCGTGTTTGTAATGTCATCACATGACAAACACGAGATAAAGCATTTGCCACCACATTTGATTTTCCCAGACGATGCTCAATAGAAAACTCCCTAAACTCCATAAGTTTGACTATCCAACGAGTTTGCCTAGTGTTCAACTCCTTCTGTGTGAAAAGAGACACAAGTGGTTTGTGATCTGTCAACACCACGAACACTGCACCATAAAGATAGTGCTGCCACATCCGCAAAGCATGAACAATAGAGAGTAACTCTTGCTCATATGTGAAATAGCATTGCTCTGCGGAATTCAAAGTTCGACTCTCATATGCAATAGGTTGTCCCTCTTGCATGAGAATGCCTCCCAGTGCATAACCACTCACATCACATGTCACTTTGTAAGGTTTCGATGGATCAGCAATGCGAAGCACTGGAGTCTCGCTCAATAATCGTTTCAGCGCTACAAAACTCTCCTCTTATGGCTTCCTCCACTTGAATGGCACATTCTTGCGTAACAACTGTATCAAAGGAATAGCCACCTCTACAAACTTATGCTGGAAATATCGGTAGTAACTAGCCATACCAAG